AATGATTTATACCACTCGTATGCCTGAGTTTGGGACTTACAATTATTTGCGAACGCCTTTTGTAACATTTCAAGCGTTGAAGCACAAGAAATTTCATTTGCAACGCTGAATTTAATACAAGATCGTTGCTCAACAAAATCGGCCATAGTAAAAAACGACGAGACCACAAAAGTTGTTTGTCACAAATGTTAGTTACTCACAAAGTACTTGAAAGAGGTTAGGTTATTTTTTTACCGCCAATCAATGATAGTTGTAGCAACCTAGAACGAGATTTTTAAATGAGAATTTCCAGGTACTTTTGGAACTGAATGTAAATATGTATATCAGCAGTCTGGTTACCATAGTACAGGCTCTCCCTAGTTTGGGATCAGACGGCCATGTCTGAAATGTGTGAATATATTATTATTACTTACCATTAGGTACTGCACGCATGGCGTAGTGGTTTAAGCGGTCGCCACGCCGCTTACTAGTACGCTGAGTGTTGTGGGTTCGATCCCCGCATAGGACGACACTTTGTGTGATCTACAAATTGTTGTTCTAAGTTTTGGTGGCCCCGGCCCCGCGACACAGGAAATATTCCTAATGCGGGTGTTCTATTTTTTAAGAAAAGAAGAAAATGAAAAGGTGACCCGTCTGCTGTTGTTGGCCCCCGATACAATAAAATGGCGACATCCAAGGTCACTGGTGACAGTCAGCAATTTAATGCAAACGCTTTTTTAAGCCGCATTCTTGTTACCTTAATATTGTGTGTGGGTTTATAACAATCAGTTACATGTCAAACAATATAACTACCTTAGGATTCTAAGTCGGGACATGGTATGTGGGTACTATGAGTTAAGCTACGGAACTGATATATTAATCTTATCCCACCCACGCCCTCAAATACCTATGTGACTTGTGTAAACTATAGTGAAACGATTGAGTATAGCTAGATTAGTCGCATAAAATTAATAGCAAAAATGTGTGACGTGTAATACATTGGCACTTGGTACACTTGAGATAAAATCGACAAGAATAAACTGTATGATTTAATTACGGTTTAAACATCATCATCATCATCAACATCCTTTATTAGTTAAATGCTGGACATCGGTCTCCACTTAGAAAGGAGGTTTTGGCCTACTATACCACGCTGACCATTCGGGTTGGTATAGGATTTGTGTTAAGTTTTCTTTCTCTTTGCAGTGCTGTTGTCCTGCCTAATTTGTGCCCTTAGTCGACACTCCGTATTCTTACATGAAATCGTATTTTATTGAAAGCGAAAGATCATGGAATTTAGAGCACACACTTAAAAGGCTGTTTAACAAAAGTTGTTAAACAAATTACTCTGTATTGCTTGAATTTAATCATTTTGTAAATTAGGAATGTAAATGAAGAAGGAAATGACGGCATTGGTGGTGTCAGTATTGATAGCCATTTACACTTAAGCGGGTTATAACGTTAGTTTCAAGCAAAAAAAATCGATACCTAGAATTTAGCACCCACATAAGTAAATGGATGTGTGACGATTTGTAAGTGGATGCGTCACCTTAGGCAATCAATCTTTAGTTAATTAGAATATAGCAATTTATTTTCTGAGATTGAAAAAAATATTTTCACACCTATGTACAATTCGTATAATATTACAAATGATCAATTTTATAAACTACGAATATTAAATAGTTTATTGTTAAAAACTAATCTTATGTCATGGTATTAACGCAAAACAATTAATATAGTCCGTGACCTAATTTGTTCTTCAAATCCAAATCAAATAAATAAATAATGAGAAAGCAAATATGCCAATAATCAACATTATATGTTAGTCGATGTTAGTCGAGTACTTAATTGGGTATGCATTGAAGCGACTCTCAAGTGCCATCTCAACACGGAAGACTACGTTTAAGAGGAAGTGCTAATACTTGCACTTATTTTAATTATTCTCGCTCGCTTGCGTGTAACAAATATGCGGAGAGCTGCAGCAATTATCGTATGATAGACTTGCAAGTAAAGTATTAACATCCAACGTTGACTGTAATGTGATTATATCGGTATTTTGTAGTCTTCATAACACTTTACTACTAAAATACCTTTTATGATATTTGAGAGCTCTAGAGAAGATCGGAACTAAATTTTTTAACATATTTCTTATAACGAGAAATGACTAGATTGTTCATTATTATTTTCATTGATTGAAGTATTTATTATCAGATATTTGCTGACACCGCTCTCAGTACTTAAATATGCATACACCACTTGTTTTCTGTTACTCCAACATCTCAATGTCGTGGATTATCTGTGGTAAATGCAAGAACCAAGGTACAAAGCCCCAAGCAGTAAGCGACACCCACGTTCAACCTTGCCATAACTAGAGCACGTGAATACACACTGTGACCAAAATAGTGCTCTTTTATGTTTACCGGCCCGGAATAATGTTTTTCCTGTGTAATCACTCCTTGTAGGCAGTTTGTTTGTTTGTTACGGTTTTACTACTACTGAAATCACCTGAACTGAAATACTAAACTGATAATCGTAATATTTTGCATACACATTGCAATGTATATAGAAAATGATATTCCTTTAATGAGAAACAGGTACAAAAGTACTGTTCCGAGGGATAAATAAAATATTTTTTACACGAACAGTACATATGGCAGCTAGTAGCATATCAATATCGGGAGTGTTTAATACAGATAACTATACTTAAATCCATCATTTATTACGTGAGCTATCTAGCTATACTTAATTTTGTGTAATTTCTTTTGTTACAGGAATTCTCAACAGCTGTGGTGAAAATGATTAAAAAAAACTTCATTTTGTTGGTAAGTAATAGCTTGAATACTCATCACTAATTCAATACTCATCATCAACTAATAGTTTTGTCCTAGACTCAGCTAAAGATTATTGAGCATTTATTTACTTATCTTAATTTTTTCTTACTGTACTTTGGTATAAATTACTGTGGAACTAAGTGTAACCATACGTTCACTGTTGTACACTGCTAGTGTTACTGTATTCCCTTATTATAGGTTTGATAAATGTTATATATGTACATCGAACGAGACATTGCTTTTATCCACGATCGACTCTATAGTCATAGTGTATTAGAAGTATTTCGTAAAATTCTTACAATTTAACATAATTAAATATTCATAGTATGATTATCAAGGTCGATAGAGGTTATGTTTTTGTATCTAAATTCATGATGCCATTCCTGTAGTGATAGGAAGGCAATGGAGAGAGTCTCCAGGTTAACAGTCATTACTGGTACCATATCAATTTTAATTTCTATTAATTATTAATTTAATACCCATCATTTAGTATTAAAATTTCAATCAATGCATTACTAGGCTCAATATCTTTTTAAATAGATTAATTATAGGGTAATACGCCTGCCTACCTGTCTCGATTTTCGTGTCTATGTAAAACGTCCAAATCTGTCAACCCTTTTCAAATTGAACCTGTAACAAACATACTGCCTAACTTATAAATACCCACACCTACTATCTCGCATCTATAAAATTAGTCAAATTATTAATGTAACTCCTTGTAACCTCAAAGCAAGCAGCCTTTCACTGTATCTGACTATGATTTACAGCAACACTCAAGGTAACTTGCCTTGCCAAAAGAACTCTTAGGCCTATTTCATTTGTCATGTGAATGCATAATTATGTAATAAATAACACTGTTATCCACGAAAAATAATGTCGGTGCGGTTTCCTACTTCACATCAATGCGATTAAAAATATTCTTAAAAAATTACAACATACTAGAGAAATAAACTCTAAGCAAGAGTTTCCAATTTCTTTGTCCATTAATGTGCAATGAACCAAACCACAGTTAACATTTTATTGCGCCTTTGCGTCTTTGATTCCATGCCGTGATTTCATTTGCTTGTGTTAGGTACATCAAAAATGAAGTTCAATTTCATAGGTTTGGTTATCGTTCAATTAATATTTTTCACCGAAGTTAAGGCGGTAAGATTTGCGTTGTTCTACTTAATAAAAGTGTAAAAAACCGTTACTAATATTAAATGTCATAAATTTATTTTAAAATCAAAATTTTAAATTGAAAATATGTTATCACCACAGGAGAGAAACACAGTAAAGATTGTAAAAAGTTCTAGTCGTTTAATTTAGTGTGTTTTTATCAAATGTACTTCCAACGGAAGCAATTTTTTTACAAGCAACTAAAACATATATTCAAATCTCAACTATTGTAATAAAAACTAAGCAATACATGTCATAAAACTGAGAATGGTGACAATGCTCAGAAATATTTTAGCCATAGCCTAGAATTTGTATTTAATGTTAATACGTCTTAAACTTCAAAACCAAAAATGAACATACATAATGCAGCAAAACTCATTACTATTAATTACTGAGTTGTAAACCAAAAAAATATTACAGTTGAAGAGTAATGGTATTTAATATACATTTGAATAAAAGTAAGATTTGATTAGGTATTAATAGCGCAGTGATAGTCAATGTTAAAACGAATGACATACTTAATATATGGTAATGTACTCGTAATATGTCCGCTCGCTTGCGTATTGTTAATTTTTTATAGAAACCGTCGAGATTGCCCTTAAAGTCTTTTGTAAGTAACCTTTCGAAATAGACACACGTTATATTGGCCATATAATTGCATTTTCAGGTTTACAATAAAGACGTCGTTTGCGTGATAGATCAGGTAATAGTAAATTAATTTATTATGTGGTCACAACCTGTATGTGTTACATACATATATGCGTAAATACAATATGAACTCTCGTCAACAGTACAATAGTATTTCAAATTATAACCATTTTCTGTAATTTATGTTATTGTATTACAACTGAACGTACAATATTTTAATGGTTGGCATATTTTCAGGGTAAAGAACCTATTTGTATAACTTCACCAAGAATAAGCCGTAGAAATAACATAAATGAAATACCTTCCCATGATCCTTACATACCTAGAAATAATACAGTACTTTTCAACTGTTCCATAGAATGCAAAATATTAAAATCCACATCTATGATAGATTTGCTATCAAAAGACTTAAATCTGAAATCTTGCTACGTACAAGGTCCAGAAGAATCACGCAAATTTGAATGTGAAGTAGTAAGGTACCATAACCTTAAGAACGTTGACAAACTATTATTTTTATCTAAAAACATCCCCGAGAAAACATTTTACATCGTTGATTGTTTAATCTACGAAGGCGGAGAGCGAGTGTGCCATAAAAAGGACGACATTAACATGGTTTATGCACATGCCAATTTGGTAGACACAGGAACTTTGGTGCGGCCCAACGAGACCGGCGTTCTTGCTCAGGATGAGTTCATATGCGAAGAAAGTAAGGTAAAGGAAATAAACTGTGACCTAAATCCATATGTACCCTTCACAAGTGGTCTTCAACTCAAAGAATCAATGAAGTTTAATGATAACGTGCTTCTGAAAAGTGGTACTTATGTTGTCATACTTAAGCGTAACTGTATAGGTTCATGGTGTGGATACACTGGAAAAGTAACATCGGGTAGAAGATCAAACACTTATAATTATAAGATGCCAGGAGATACAGTGTATCGTTGCTACTATGCAAAAAGACAACAAGTTTGTAAACCATTGTATTCAATCAACGAAAGATCGGTGTATAATCAAAGAGGTCATCTTAATTCATGGTAATAAAAAGACAACACAACAATGTTTTTTCTTATCGACATTTGGGTTGGATCCTCTCAATGTTTCGGGAACAATTAATGTACACAATGCAGACGTGTGTGTTATATTATAAAAAAAGCTAGCGGTGTATAAATTAAGGTAAAGATACACATTTCCCCACGTCTATATCCCCGAAGGGGACAAAGGCGTATTAAACGTGGTCATTTTGCCAACTATAAATAAATCTTCACTTATTTAAAAGGGAGCTAGCCAACCGATATAGCCGACCGGGATATTTAAAATTGGATTGGGAAATTGACAGAAAATTGATAGGACAGGAAGGTTAAGAAGTAGAAACAATGGAAGGAAATATATATTGCTCATATATTAATATGAGCAATTTATCTTTTCTTCTTCTTCTACTTTCCGGATTGTGGAGTGTCTGCAATAGCTTAATCAAGTCAAGGTCGCATAACTGTAACTTGAATTGGTTAGGTATTGCCGGCAATATGGGCTTCAATACTTTAAGATCATTTCCATTGATCTCACTCTGATGCTAGTCACATGTTATAACATATGTTATGAAATGTGTCATCAAAAGTGAAAAACTAATTAGTTGAAATATTGTCATATTTATTTTAAAACTCTTTATTTGTATAAAAGCGACTATACTAACGAAAATAACTAAGTATTGAACCCATAACAAGTGGAGACCTTGCTTACTCACACTCGATGGATGAAACTCTCTTATCTTAAACTTGATATATTGTACTTAAAGCGCAATTTTGTATAACCCACTAACAGACTACAACGAACGAGTTTTGTTTTCTTATGTAGTAAATATTTCGTAGACTGATGCACTATTCCGTAAACTATTGCAGCTACTAACTATATTACTCCTCCATAGTTGTATAGCAGGCCTAAACATGACCAGGTTCTTATGATACGTAGTGCAAATAAGAACAATTGAATTAATCAATTTTATTGTGTCGGATTCTCAATTAGGTTCGAAGTGTTGCATTATTTTGTTGAAACAATAAGCCGAATAACATAATGCGTTTCTTTGTAGTGATGTCAGCGCAAAATTTATCTTACCTGTATATCTAACAGCTAACACATAATTGTGCCAAATGTAATCTCGGGCATCTAAATTAGTTATTTTATACAAAATGCATTGTAGTTTATATGGGATATTTCTATGCCCGACCTCTGACCTCTATGACGTCATAGAGGCCGGAAGTAGGTATACATGTACCTAGTTCTACGAAATAATGGTTTTGTACGAAGAAAAACATGAGTTCAGATTACTATATACTGTTTTTAAATACACAATGTATTTAGAGCTCTATTAATAGAAAAAAGGAAAGCAATGGTATAAAAAACCATACAAATTCGACACCCGTTATGTTACGAAACTTTCTAGGTACATAACTGGTAAACGTTTCATTTACCCGGTGTACCACTCATAATACATTAAATATTATGGTACCCTTGTCGTTTACAGCATCCATAACCTACATTAACTCCGGTGATTGTTGCAAAGAAAGTGAAAGTGATCACCAAAAACAGGTTACAAAATGAACCTCGGTTATGGCTACTGAGTTCCTACCCCCTTTTCTTTATGTTGCCGTGGCCAATAATGAAAATAGAATAACAGATGTTTGGCAATCATCTTTATGTAATAGATAACAATAATATCTTGACAGATCACACACGGCCGTCTGATTATACACATCTGAATACATACTTCAATATAAATTAAAAAAACCGGTCAGGTACGAGTCGAACTCGTGCGCCGATGGTTCCGTGCCTACCCAGATTTAACATAGATTGACACCCACCTGATGAATAGGGTTGGTAACACTCTGTATTCTTAATCCGTCACCACAGATCCACACAGAATACTCCTACTACACCAACTTCTCCTAAACCAATGCAAAAGGCTTGTTAGTTGGGTAGATTTTTAAAACACACTGAATGTGTTTCTCTCTCAAAATGTAACATATCTTGAACCAGTTCAGCCATCTCTAGACTGTAACAATGGTTACTCAATAGCTAACGGCTTAGCTGGTTGAATTGATATATCTTTCATTGTTCGTAAACACTTTTGTTCATAGTTAAATGATAATCCTTTAGTTGTTTCTGCTCTTAGTTTCTGTGTATCACAAAGCCAAATCGGATACATATTTATCAAAATGTTCAATTAGCCAAATCGTTGCAACTTTGCATCTATCCATATACCATTCTAAGCTCTTTAGTGTTTTATATATATATATATATTCTGTTTTATATCTACATACTCGTATATCTATAAAAGGAAGTAGATCGCTGGGTCTAGAAGCATAAAATTTTGCACAACTATTCCACAAGGTGACGAAAGGATTTTTAAAAATTCCACAACTAAGAGTGAGAAATGGGGATTGGAAATTCATATGAAACTTCGTTTTTCTTGGTAGTAGCTTATCCTGTACGATGTCTGATGTCAACCAACACGCGGACGAATTCGCTGTCAAAAGCTAGTTACTAATACAAAATTAATTACCTACATCAAACAGCCTCTTTATGTTACTGATCACTGTGTACTTGATGAAGGTTGACATGCTGCCTAAAGAAGTTTCCATTGAACAGAAAAAAAATATATAAATAAGTAGTAGCTCACGATTTTTGAAAGGAATGTCCTCATTCTGACCATAAATAGAGAATTGGAACATTAAGCACAGCTTTGATGAAATATACGACTTTTGCAACACAGCAATGTCATAAAACCGGAAACCTTATTTATATTAATTTTAAACTAAGTAATTGCCACGGTTTTTGCAAATTACACTCATAAATAGTATATAGGGTACGTAGTCCTAGAAGATATTTTGGGACGTTGATGAATAATTGATAATTCTAATTTTCCTGCAACAACATTTAGGCTTTTTCTTGTTTATTTCTAAGTTTATTTTTTCTTATTAGTTATGTTTATTCTTTCTCTAAGCTGTTGGTTCCGAACACATTCCATCAAAACATGTACGTCTTTCTTGGGTGTGTTATGTGACTTAGAAAAGTGTGTAGCCTGCAGTATTTTAGTACACCACTTCTTTATTTTATTTGTATATGTATATTTATTAAAATACAACAAATGTTACACAAATTTTAAGATCCATTCCCATTACCTTCAGCGAACAGTCATAATTTATATATGTTGGATCTTGGTAGGTACTTGTAACAAACTTTTCTTGCTAATTCTCAAAAACAAAAGTGACGTATGGGAAAAACCAAACCATCAGTATATTTTTGTTCTATTTCACGGTATTTACATCTAACAATGGAACTAAGTATAATCACCTCATTTTCTGAAAGCCCTTGTTTTAAACGTGTGTTCTCTTCGTTGTCTTGGGTAATTCCATTCCATACACACAGCTTAGTTTTCTCAGTATGACTTAATTACATTAAAGAAATTTCATGGAGGCACTATTTCTAACTTATTGAAATATTCAAGCAATGACAATATGAAATCAAAACACTGTTTAAAACCCATTAATATCAAAATTATAAAGTATCAAATATATGTAATACGGTCAATTTAAAATATACGTCACTTTCTTTTAAATCAATTTTAACCTAATCCTAAGGCAGTATTCAACCTACTGCATAGAGTTCTTAATTTAATCCACCAATGTCTTTATAAGCCTATCATATTAATCTTTACACCCCTTAAAACTCTTTTAACAATAGGCCATACACTGATGATGTTGCTGTCCTATTTGTTTGGGTTGATTTTTTTAGATTTCAAGCTACATAGTGTATACATATTATCTTGGGGTACATTTCGACTGAAATAAAAAGAAAACTTTTCACCTAAATATTTACAAATACTTTTAAGAATACAAAGCGATGTTAATAGCCGTCATTTAAAATTTAAAAAAAAAGTTCATTAAAAGTAAGTAAAATATGTATGTACCACTTACACAGCGCCTAAAATTTTTAAAGCCCTTGTGCAATCCATGTGTAATCTTTATAAGGTATTTCTAGCTGCAATTTATTTTGTTGTCGCACGCCTTGGGAGTGAAAGTGACAGTGGTCGAACGGTCACAATATCTACTTGCAGTTGCCCACATACAGGACCCAATTCCAAGCAATAAAACTCGATTTCGATATTATTGTGTAACTGTTATACAATTAGTATTTCCTATAAATAGGTATGATCTTGTTTATAATAGGATATGCGTAGATATATTATTTTAGATTAATACATAAAAAGAAGTACATGGGCCACCTAATATTATAATAAATGGCACGGATTATTTTATGAACAACTGGATAACTTTACAAGGCTTTTATAATGAATAGCTGCATATGAATAAAACTCAATAGTGTACGAACACCAACACGCTAACACAATTTAAATTAACCACATAAGGTCGCACGCACAGCTCAGAGTGTACATAATTGCTAGGCGAAAGCATTTTATACAGTAATTGAAATCGATTCTCATTTTTTTTAAAAGCCTTAAACCAGTCATCAAACACGTTACTACGGCTCTTTTAAATGAGCCATCATTTAAGGCCGCTAAAAATGTATATACTTTATTTAACGCGGTATGAGAAGTGATAATTTACACAACGGCGCCATCTGTACACAAATATAGTTCCTAAACAAGGCCTTGCTAACATAATAAAATACCTAATTACAAAGTCAGAAAAACTGTTTACATCCGACATCTGTCATTTAATAAACGTCAAGATTTAATAACAACCTATTAAATTAATAGTTGTAGTCTAATTAAGATGCTATTAACAAATACAAGAGATTAAATTGGCAGCTTATAGGCCATAATAACTCTGACGACTTTGATACGTAATTTATATTGCCCGGAGTTTTTTTGCTCCAATGCTTTAATTTAATATTAGTTTTTGTAAAATTTAAAATTTACGTTGAAGGAATTCAGATCCGTATAGAGAGATCGGTTTATTGATGACTAAGAACTATTATATAAAACAGTGAGAAAATTATAATTTTCTGGAAACCAATAGAAT